AATAAATCTCGTTTGTATTTCAGCGACTATTAATTTTATCGGCATTTTTTGATTATAAAAAGGAAAATTAAGTTAATTTTTTGCCCAAAAAAAATAAAATATTTTTCCTTTATAACGAATTTACGTAGAATTTTATGTAAAAAATAAAATTTTATTTTAACTTTGAAATGTTAGTTTTGAATATCGTTGTAATTCAGCTATAAATTATATTTTAGGTAAAGCAAATAACACTGCAAACTAATTAAAGTCAGATTATAGCCTGTGTTTACCTGGTAGTTTATAGTTTCGTCAAAACTTTTTTGATATGCACGTTTGTAATTAACAAACTTTGCTGACAACTTTTCGTTAAATTAATTCCTTTTATAATCAAATATTAATGAAAAAAGAAGAATAATTTGTCTTAAAAAGATAATTTATATTAATGTCGAAATAATATTTTATTAATGTGTATTATTTTCAAATATTACGTGTGCGCTTTTCATATTTTTCATGCGTATATCAGTTTTACACTTCATCATACATATACGTATTTTGCAGAAAAAAAGTTTCTAGAATTAGTTTTTACTGCAGCTATTACGTCAGTTGGGAGCATCCGCCTTTTTTACGATTTCACTTGACCGTGCACCCAATAAAGCGGGAAAGGGTCCTTACGCGGACATTACTTGTCCCGTTGAAAGACGTAAGTTTCATTTGCGCTCAATTGAAAGTAGCCTCGACTTAAGCGCAGTATCGTTCCATAGATACTCTGTCGTGATTGAAGATACACATTATCGTCACAACTCGACAATTGTAAATTCATTCGTCTTTATAGCCAATTTTACGCATTGTTAACGTTAATTGCTCGTTAAAAATACCGTGCGTCTATGAATTTAATAATCAAAAAATTATACAAGTGTACTGTATTTATTAATACTTTTCGATAGTAAATTTTTTAAATAAATTTTGCAATCGGTTTTTTTCAGTTATGTCTAATTAGAGTTCTTGAAGAGATTAAACTTTCAGGTGTGCGTATGTAATTGTGAGTATAATTTCCATTTTCATTTCTTTCATTTATAAATTTTTGATGAGAAAATTTAACTTTACATTTTGTTAAAAGATTTTGTCATTGCATGCAAGTAATATTATGACACAGCAAAACATTTGTACGTTGTAAAACCCTAGAATTCTTTTTGCTAATAAAAGAAATTATACGACGCTTGTAGTGGTACGGCCGCGGGCTTCTGACCTCGCACCTCTTTTGCGAACCGACACAAACGTAATTTCACGCACTACTAACGTTAACAGTGGAACATACGGTCTCGTTAACGGCAAGATAATTTGTAACTGTGCGAGCGCAGGTGATATCAAAAGCAACGGTTTTGCTGCTTGATCATAGCTTTGGCCCAGCGATTTCTCTCATCCGTGAATCTCATTAGCCCGTTGCGTTTCTGTAGAGTTTTTCTCTATCCTCGGCTAAACTGAATTAGGAAATGCGCGAATTTAAACGCGCATCCATTTATATTTTGCAATCGGAGCTAATTTCATATTCCATATTTATATTAAATGCACAATAACAAAAATTAAGTTTAATTAGTCAGATTATAAAGAACTTTTGCATTAAAATGCTCAACGCATGGAAATAAATTTATCATTTTTATCACAGTTACAGGTCAGTTATGTTTCCATAGAGAGAGAAAAGGAGAAATTTTAATGTATTTAAATCTATTTAATCCTAGTTTTTATCTTGTCGATATAAGATGCTTACGTGAACGTGGACAATATTTTAATTACTTTAATAAATTTGTATATTATATTAATAAAATTATTATATTAGCGTAAATATTAATATTATATAATATACAATCATAAATTTTCTTGTAAGTTATAATGCAATCATATTTTGATTATTGTAAATTTTTAGCGCAAATGAATATTATTTTCTTATATATATGCTTAAACGTGTCTGATCTAATTAATCAACATTAAAGTTAGAACAAAGTTGAATCGCGAAACTCAGCGTGAAACATTCCCTGCGATCTCATTTTCATGACCGATCGCCACAAAAGTTTCGACAGCGATACGACTTCCACGCTGGGTAGTCGAGAACTCATCACATTTACATTACTTTGCAATATCGATCGATATCATCAAAACTCCTGCTGCAACCAATTGTTTGGGAATACTATTCGTACAAATTAGAGTATTTCGTTTAAATTCGCAAAATGCTAATAAATATCGTTTAATCTGTGTGGTACGATACAAACTGTGAGTACATAAATTTCTTTTTATCGCGAGATATATAAAACATAACAAAAAAGAGATAATATTTATTAAAAAAGCGATATTGTAATAAAATAGAATTGTAGAATAGCTGTTTTCTTATCTATTCACATATTTCATACCATACTAATAGAACACATATTTCATACCATACTAATAGAAAAGTATAACTGGAAACAGTATACTATTAAGATTTTAAATAATATTAGCATTGTTAATTATTACATCAATTTTATTGCCGGATTTAAAAATAATTTTTGACTCAAACTATCTTTTAATTATTTTATTTTTAAGTAAATCATATACGTATTCTAAATAAATTATATTCCTTATTTTTTATTTTGTCATAATTTTTTATTACTTTTAATAATTAACGCATTTTCTTGAAAATATTAAAAGTACATTTAGTTTTTTATTTAAAAAAAAGCATTCACTTTTCTTATAATAAATCTAAACATGACAGCTCTCTTAACTAAAAGCTAAACTTAAGAAGGAACTCTTTTAAAGACCGTATTACGAAAATTTTATAGTGATTATGTACAAAATTTGAAAATAAAAATTTTAATTCTACAGGACACATTTTTATTTTAATCCACACAAATTAATTATTAATTTTACATTTTGAAAAGCTGCTTAAAAGTGTTTTGCATTATGTCAAATTCATGAACCTTGAAATACATGTATTAGATTCATTAATTTTTAATTATTACTAAATTGTCAAGTTTTTCCTTAAATTATTTTGCTGTTAAACTGAGAAAAAAATTTGGTTGTATTAATTAGAAATTGGCAGACCAGTATGTCTGTTGGAAAATTGACGAATCAGAATTCCTTTAAGAATTATTAGATGAATATGATTAATTTCTTCCTTAAATTTTCTTGATAATAATAGTAAATTAAAAAAAATAAGAATCACTATGTCTATGTTTAGTTAATATAATAGATAGATAGTTTATAGATAGATAGTTAATATAATAGATAGATAGTTTATAGATTCAACTAGAAAGTACTAACTAAATCCTTATAGTAAAATCTATTAAACGTTCTGATTATAAAAAATCGAGTCTTATCATATATATCATAATAACTAGAATTCTGTTTCATTTAATCAAAATGCCTTTTATCATATACATCTTTGTACAATGAAACGATTTTTCTCAGTGCACAATTAAATGAACTTTTGTCCGCAGAAATGATGCGGAAGTCATCATTCTTGTTACGAAGAAGGACCATAGCCGAAAGAAGCAAAGCAGTCAAACCTGTGTGTTTAATAAAATATCTATATTACAATCGATATTTATTAGCGATTTGCGATAATCATTAAGACAAAGCGCTAAGGCGGAACGTTTAATCTTGGAATCGTTAAACGGCGGGCTAAATCTGAAAATTACTTTCTTTCAAACAGATGTGATAATGTGCTAGCTTCTCGGACAGGAAAGTTCTCATTTCGGCGACAATAGTACGCGGTTGTTGAAACTGTATAGTGCCTTGACGACGACGCCGGTAGCTATTGTCGCAATTCTTCTTTTAATTAAACACGCCATCTATCACCTTGGTTGCAGAAGAAACGGATTATCCATTAAAACAACGTTCCTTATCTTCTTGTTGAAAGTAAAAAGAAAGTCTCTATAAAAAAGAATTCATTCTAATAAAAAACAGCCCAAGGGAGCCGCTCGTCGATTGACGTATTTCGTTTGCAATTACAACAGTTTGTCAGCGTCATGACTTTTCCAAGTTGAAATTTTATTACGCCGTGATACAGACATTGAACCGTGTGACTGACATTGAATAATACCATTAGAAGTATTTCTAATTTATGAAAGCAGAAATTATTACATTTTTATTCATTGTTATTGTTTATTGTTATTGTATATAAACAAAAGCGTACGATATGAGCACAAAATATAATTTATTTTGAAAAATATATCTTTTTAGCAATTGTTTAACAATAATAATGTTTAAATAATTCTAAAAATTTAATTTAATAAGTTTCCCTATTATATATGAGATTAGAAGTTAATACTTCTTTTAATACTGCTTTTGTTGTTTTGATTTAAAAAGAATATATTTAAATAAGTCCATAAATAAAACAAGGAATTAATGTATAAAGATTAAACGAGAAAAATGTAATTCCTCATTCTGTCCCACATAAGCGACACAGGTCTACAGGTTGAAGTTCGGAGTGCGAATAAAATGGATTACATTATTTTAATTGGTTTCGTACGGTTTCTACAATTCGCACCTTCGCATTACTAGAATGCGAGATGGGATTCCCACGATTAAATAAACGGTCACGATGCAAGAACAATTACAATGAGATATAAGCTACGCGATGTAATCCAGTGAAATAACTTTTACTTCATGTTTGCGGAAAGATAAAGCTGCTGACGTTTTTTTTAACGGTCTTTTTATTAATCCGCTAAATTACCTTTCTTCATAAAAGAATGAATATGATGCAGTGGTAAATTGCATTCGCAAAAAATAATAAGTTGCATAAAAATGAGGTCATTGTGCAAGAAAAATATATTTAATTAAAACTTAAGAATGTCAGAGAATATTAATAATAAAAATTATAAACAATAAGCACAAACAATAAGCATTGGATATCTAAAAGTTCTTTTTTATATCTGTATATAAACAAGATACATTGTTATTTTTTTTATGTCATGATTCAAATTTACGTCTTCTGAGAAAACTTATTATTTATAATGTTAAAAGCACTATACGTAATAACACTTTTTCAGACACATCTACGCGTGCCGTGCAAGATTTCTCCTTCGTCGTCCGGTTTGTACATGTATAACTATAATCGGATCTGCATCCGCCAACGGAAATTACCGCTTGCGGCATCGTCCGGAAATTCGCGAACGAACCTGTCTAATAGTAATAAGCGGTACGCTTGATAATCCTGCCAAGCGACCGTTTTACCGGAAGTTTCAGTATATTCAACTTAAGTTAGTGAAAGGTAAATTGAATAAATTCTATAAGTGTTTTTTAATTCCTTTTAGCATAAATAACATGCGATACTTATAAGATTAAAAGTGATTGAAGCCAAAGAATTTGCAATTCTATAGTTTTAATTAATAATTCAATATAACGGGGAATGTAATTTAATTTATATTAATAATATATATGCGTGTATGTACACATACACAAAATATACAAAAGAGAGAGGGGGGAAGGAAGAGAGAAAGAGAACAAAATACTTTTAAATATAAATATTTTTTTCATTATTTTGTTGCACAGAATTTATTTGTATAACTGTAAAAGTTAGTAAAGACTAATTTGCAATTTACACGTAACTTTAAAAATATTTCTACTTTAAGCTATTGACGATTTCATTCACTATTTTCAGTTTTCGTTTAGGCATATACTGATGTTTCTGTACGTTTCGAGTCTCGTAAAATCGACGATAATCTGCAGTTGCATAAATTTCTGTCGTTGCAATACTGCGGCGTTCCAGGGCGAATTCAGATGGATCAGGAACGTGATAATCGATGCATAAATCCTTCAAGTTGAGCAAAATCGGAACGGCAAGCAGGAGAATATCGCGTGAAAATATTTACCTCACGAACGTTACACGTCGCTTTAACGTACTTTAATACGCGTTTCAAAAATATCTTGTTACTATATATTAAGAAATATTATACAGAAATTAATATACACTAATATACAGAAGAATTTATGTTTAATAAATATTATTATGTTTAATAAAATATTTATTGTAAAATAATACATATATTACATTTAAAAAAAATGAGAAATAAAATGAATTTGTAATATTATATTATGTTACATTTCTTAAATTTAAAATTTTTAGACTCTGAAACGTCGTTATCGATACATCTCAGTTATAGAATTTTAGTTTTTTAAATAAAATTTTTAAAAGATTTATAAAATACAATTTTTAAAAGAGCATATTGTATAAAAACTCTAACTGATTTTAATTAAACTAAATCAGAATAAGAAACTTTTATTTGCGATTAAAAATACTCTTAATATGATAAAGTACTAATAAACTATAAATTAGAAAGTTGTAGAGGAAAGAATGTTCATAAATCAATTTTTATTAAAAAAAATTTTATTCTAAATTTTATCCTAAAAATAAGAATACGTAATCAATAGAATATAGATGAGAAGAAATGCAATAAAATTGTATGGGAGTGTCTGTACAGAATTGACCTGTTCGAAATAAGAAACAGAAACTTTCTCTTTGCATTTTGAGTACTTGTGAAACCAATCGCAGTATGGAAATATCAATTTCTGCTATCTATATTGAATAAGTAATATACTCAGACTTTTTTCTCCAAAAAAATAGAACAAGTTTATCAACAAGCTTAAATTTTATTGTTATCGAAATCTTCTTCCTAGCAATAATAAACGAATGAGAATAAAAGATAGAAGAAAGAATAAAAAATGAAAAATATATAAGACTGATTAATCTGATAAAACATAAATTTCAAACATTTTTCAAAAACAAAAAGATAAAAGGAAATAAAAAATAAAAAAGCGAAAGAAGGGCCAAACGTGATAACAAAGGGATCGAGCGATATTCGCGAGATAATCGATTATTTAAAATTGAGTAAATGCATCACAGTCATGTACGCACTTGAAAATTGATTGTATGCGTAACGCCTCGGTAATCGAGTTTATCTACGCTGCGCTTTTCCAGAGCACTTGATGATGCATGCACAGCGAATCTCGCACAATTCTGAGACGAACCAACGTGTCGCGATCTGCTGCGTTAAATTATTCAAATTTGATGATTCCAATAGAATTTTTGCATTATGTAAAATTTTTAATTGAAGATTCTTATTTTAAAAATAAATTTGATTTATTTTTAAAATAATTTGTATTACAATGAATATCATAACTTGAACATCATAAACTTGATTAATTTCGTATGTAGCAATACAAAAATTTTATTTGTGAAAAAATCAAATTAATTTTAATAATAACAAAAAAAATACAATTAAATATGTAATACAAAATATGTATTAATCGCGACTTATTAATGTATAATTTGTAAAAAGAACATTTCAAATTATTAATTATTCTTTATTATTTTTGTGATTGTTAATAAGTGATTAATTTGAATTTCCAAATAATGAATAACTGAATTTGTATTTCTAAATAATATCATATATTGACATGTGAAATAAATAATAAATCGTGAAATATAAAAACGACATCGTTATGCAATAAAAAGCGGACATTAACGTAATTGGAAATGTTTCGTGTACGAAGAACGTTAACAAGATCAATGATATCGTAACAAGGACAAGCAGAGAAAAAAAATCGTCGAATCTGAGAGCAAGTGATGTAATTAAATTCGACAAATCTTGTTTATAGTGCAAATTCTCATTCGTTTCCGCTCGTAGAAAAGCAACTCATTGAAAAGCGGAGAATGTATCGACAAAATACTAGAGATATAGCAATTCTCTAAAAATTTCCAAGCAAAATATTTCTCAAAGAAATAATTTAATTGAAAATCTTGCTAACTCTTATAATTAAAACAAAACTATCTCATCTATCTCTCTATTTTATTATTTTATTATAACTATCTTTCTATTTTATTATAAGCGTGCTTCTGGTCAGAATTTAATATATCAGAAATGTGTCGAACATTTTATTTTTTTTCTTTAAAATTTTTTCACGAAATATTCGAAATTAATTTGAAATTAACAATAGCAGAGAGAATAATCGAGAAATAATAATGATAACTCATACACGTTTTCCAATATTTTTTAAAAGATAGTCTTTCATATTACATTGATCACATTATAATATAATAAAATTAATTCATTCTTCAGTTTTGCGAGAAGCGAAATGAAAAAAAGAGACGAAAAATCAGAATAGCAAAATACACGCCTTATAATTACTCAATGATGTTAATAATTATAATAATGATTTTTGTTTTATAAACGTCTTGTAACGGAATATATACATGCTTACATTTGTAAATGCAACGGAGCATATATATTTACACGCATAATAGCTGCGTACGTAATATTCGACATAAACGCTTCAATGCTAGAAATTCAAACACTCAGATGGAGCGCATCGCACCCACGCGCAATTCGCATCACTTTTCATCCTTTCATTTTACCTTGCCGATGTTACCACAGTAAGTTGTGCGGGGAATATTATATAATCGCGCACCACATGTGGTATGAAACACGTCACGAATGCCATAGTGCGTGTGTGACATAGGTGTCCCGACGTGCGGTTTATCGAAACCGCGAGTCGCAGAGTAACGCGAATAGACATGCGACCTGCATTTGGCGCAAATCTCGAACGCATGATTGCGCACAAGTTTGTGTACGATGATTTAATGGAACTATCGACATTTTACATTTGATATATTACTTGTATATCCGCAATATACAATGAATAGAACTACGAATAGGTCTTCGAGATACAAATAGATCTCATATATTTTATTAATATGCTTTTAAGACAAAATATTTTATAAATCTGCTGCTTTTAAAGGGATTACCTCAAGTGAATATTCTTAAAAGCTTTTGATCGACAAAACATTCATGAAATCATAAAAATATTCAAACAGCTTTAATCATGAATATATTTTTATATTGTTTCGTATATTTAAATATGAATGCAGCATTCAAACATTTTTTAAAGATATTAATATATTTTTAAGATATTTTTAGATATTATAACGATAGTACAACATATTGCGAATGCAAATAAGATATTGTATATTGTTTTGTATATCATTTTATTGGATTTATAACTAATTTTTTAGAATTTCTCTGAACTATTTATAGATTGGAAATTCAGAATAAAAGCAAAATAAATTTTTAACTGCAATTAGTGCAGTAATAAAATACATTTTGCCGTTTTTATTTTTTAATATGCATTAATAATAAGATAATCAAAAACTGTTTTTGTATGTGTTTTTTGCGTTTATTGTACTATTGTATTAAATTTAAAATAATACATTTGTTGCATTATTCGTCCATAATATTCTTTATCACTTTTTTTAATTAATCCATTTTATATAAAAACTGTTCAAAAGCATGTCATTAGTCGCACAAATCGTACGTTGATCAAACAAACAAATAACTAAAGATATTAAATAAAAAAGCATTTAAAAAAATCTTGTTTCCTCCAAAAACCTACATTTATTATTATTATGTTATAATTATTGCGATTGAACATTTTATTAATATTTTGCAGAAAGTGTTACTTTTATTAAGTGACCTAACTGCGAGTACAAGTGTAATATAATCACAATTAATCTACAGCAATAGCAAAAAACAAACGATTTAAACATATCTCAAAATATCTCGTTCCTAGATTAAGAGATAATCTTGGATTATTCTGTATGACTTTCTTATAAAAAATCACTAAGAAGAAATGCACGAAGAATGAACTTATAATCTCGTACGGTTTTTCACAATCAGGAAATTTATGTAATATCTATGAAGAGACGGCCACAGTTCATGAAGTATCGCGAATTAAATTCGTTTATATGGTCAATTTCACGTTTATGCAGCTTCCACATCGAATAAACATGCGCACATATTAATCATACGCCATGTAAACGTAACATTAATCCTTATATAAACGAAGGTAATGTTAAAGCGACGTACCGTGAGCAAGAAGTTACTGGTTATGTTTAAACAGATTTAATGCATGCAATTCCGACATGAAATATTTGGTAGAGATACACGAGAAAACATACTTTTAGCTTTTAGATTATTTACCTTACAAGCTACACGCTGGAACCCAAAATTCGGTGAAAATATGCTTATTCGAAATTAGTTAGGACTTACAATGTTTAAATGAGTAAGTTTCTTCCAAAAACAATCATACAAACAATTATATTATATTTTAATATGAAACCTGACAGCAAAATTTATAAAGCGTAAATAACTTTAAAACTGAAAATGAGTATAGTTGTCAGATAAAATTGGCTTTGTTACTCCACAGAGTTAAAGTTATTATCACAATATTGACAAAGATTTATGTCCTCTAAAGGTACATGCGGTCTTTTACTCAGCATCGCATAGTTCGATCACTTTTGCGCTGTAATCTCCTTGTTGAAAACTTTGCCTCTTTTCAAAAGTTTGCACGTCCTTCCTTTTAAGATGAGTTACACTGGAAACAATATAATTTTGTTATATTCCCGTAACACGCTAAAGATAAAAGAGGATAATTTGTTAATAATTTGTATCGTCTTTATTTCTTCCATAGCGCGACGATAAGGTACAAAGTATATCTTTAATCAATGAAAACATTCTTTAAAAATTTTCATCGCGAGTCCGAAAATTTCTCAAAACCATATATAACATCTCCCAATTTTTATCTTGTTTTATTATAAAATTTTTTTAATTTATTTGACCAACCATATTTATCGCGTAAACAAACAATTAATATACCAAGCATTTCGTTAGTAATAAATGCTACCGATCGAGTACAAAGTTGATCAGCACGTATTTCAATCAGGAGTTGAAATTAATTTTGAAACGGATTAGTTTGTATTTTGGATACTCAGATTAATTTGTTTCAATAATCATTTAGGGGTACTTTATTTTGAAACTTAATCCTGCTTTAAATAGGATTAAACATTTATCTTCTTCTTCCAC